ATGGTTCCCTACTAACTGTCACGGAGAATGATGTCCATGCCACTTTGGGTTTGCCATGTGGGGGTGTTACTATCACCAAAAGGGCTAAGGACGATGTTAGCGTTAGTTTGAAAGATTGGCGTTCCAAATTCGAGGTTTCGAATCATTATGTGACGTTGGGTAAGATAGGGGACATGTTGCTGACCCCGGGTTGTTTGGAGGGTGATGTTTGGTTTAAACGTCACTTTGCAGTGTTGGCTGCTAGTATTTTTGGTTCGCCGATGAAGAATGGATATGCAAATCAGCTTGTTTACCACCATTTTGAAGACGTGGATGAGATAAAAAATTTAAACTGGTGCAAGTTTGTGTTGGACTGTTTGGTGGAAGAACACGGTAAGTGGTATGCTGACCGGTCCAAACCATTTGCGGGTCCTGTTCTTATGTTGTTGGTAAGAAATTCATTACACTCCTTTATAATTGTTTTAGTCGTGTGTGTGCATTTCTGTATTATGTGCAAGTTATTAATTGATTTCCGGGTTTAGCTCCTTTACGTTGACAGGGTAGTGCAGTCTGAAAGGGCTGTTCCTCGGGCCTTCCCTTCGTTTAGAGGGTGGACTACGGGTCTTCTCAAGGCTCGTGAGCTAGCTGAGGTGGAGATTGGGAGGTTTGGTGTTGGGAGCATAGTTGGGCCTTTTGTTCCTCCAGTTGTGCGTAGTCCTCCCCATGTTTTGGTTAGTGATGCCGCCCAGGTTTGTTTCCCTTATGCAATTCATTTCCATCTAGTACGTGGGGTTCTGTCCATTTGCGTTTTTGCTTTCTATAGAATGCGTTTTCCTGTTAGGTGTATGCATCTTTATCACTTCGTGTGTGCGACATAATACATTTAGTGTATTGTGCTCTTACTATGTTTCTAAATTTTCACATTTTAGAACATATGTTACTCGGGTAAAATCTACAAACTATGTGCGGGTTCGTTCCCCGGTGTGTGCTTATTTTAGATATGTCATGTTACGCAATTTCGTTTGGTTGAACTCTGTACCCTGATTGTACGTGTAGTTTCGTTTTTGTGTTTTTTTTTTACAATTTCTTGTTATAAAGGCGACCGGTGGACGTGTCTTATTTTAATCACTTGATTTATTTGATTCTCGGATTCACGATGTGTAATGTATGCATCTCTATACGTTACTTCGTGCAGCTTTTTGTTAGTAATTGTTTTTTTTTTCTTGCAGTATGTGGTCTGGTTTAGTCGTCCAATTACTTCTTCATTTTTTTAAAAATTGGTGGAAATGTCGTTGAGTTTAACATTTTATTCCGTTTCAAGTATGCTTGTATCATCTTTGCTTTTTTATTTTAATGTCCATTTTATATTTATTGTTTCCGTTGCAATTGTCTAGGCACCTGGGGAATTGTTTGTTTTGAAGATGGGTGCATTAGACGCCGCGTTAGATGATGTTGTGTACTTCATTGGGATTCACCCCCAATACTCGACCCCCACAGATAGCGTGACGCGTGTATTATCCGGTGCACGGAGGATTATTTCTTTGTTTGACACCCATGCGTCTACAGAGCCAGTTGCCGTTGCAAATACGGCCGGCGCCACGACCAATAGTGGGGATGAGATTTGGAATAACCCAGAGAGCTTTCAAGTTGTCGATGAAGCTGTTAGGGCGGTCCAAGATGAAAACCATCGGCCACCAGTTGTTGATGAGCAGGGTGGGCCCTTTATTGGTGATGTAGGAGGTGTGCCACCTCAGAATGATCGAGTGTCTGTGCAGGTGTCATCAATGGGTCATGTGGTGGAATCCCAAGCTGTTGTAAGTATGATTGTGTACAAGCGCAGGAAAGTTAAGCAGGTGTAGGGTGTATGTGGATGGCGTACACTTCTTTTGTGGCTAAACATACTCGTGACCTTTTTTGGTTGGTGTTTGTTATTTGGGATATGTTTGTTGTGTTGCATGGTAATGTAGTTTCTATGTGGTGCAGATGTCTTGTATAACAGTTGGTCATACATTACTTACCGCTAATGGGCAGTACTTTATGGTCTTTCGCATTTACATTATGCTTTTCATGCAACCACTCCTCATTTTGTTGTTATCTCCGCTAATCTGCAGTAATTTTTGGTCTTTCGCACATACATTATAATCGTTATGCACCCACTGCTCATTTTATTCTTCTTTCTTGCGTTCATTAGGGATGTGATGACGTTTCTTCATTCAGTCTTGGATTGTCCCAAGATCTACCTGTCCAATGTTGGGAGGAGGTGGATGCAATTGTGCGGGAATATGTGGGTGATACTTCAAATAATCTATCCGGGGGTACTAGGTCTGCACCTTGTGTACCTGTAAGTATTAGTGTGGATGCTGTTTTCTAATCATTGATCCTGCTTTCGACCCACGGTTTTTCCATCAATCTCAATCCCGTATGTCCCACACCCATGGTGGTAATAGGTGCGTGCGTTGGAACACCAACTCTCGGTTGCCCCTAAATCACTGTCCGTTGGGGTATCCGGGACGGACGGGGTCGTGAATGCACGTGGCCGGGGTGTAGGTGGTACCACCTCGCAGCATGTGTTTTCAACTCCTCCTGAGGTATTGTTGTCTCATTGGTTTCTTTATGGCCACGCCTTTTTCAATTTTTTTTAATCATATTAATTGTTCCCTAATCTTTTTTTCATGTTGTAGCACAACAATGTGATAGGCCCGTGCAAGGGCGTGGTACCAAGTCCGTCGATGCGTCAAGCACCAATTAAGTCTTCACGTCCCGTGTCGCAAGATGTCGGTGCTTTGCGCACCATCGATTTTAATTCTTATGTGCCCCTCACGCGTACTCGCGTTGCCAATATGATTGTTGTCAATAATGTTGACGCTCAAGCGGTTTATGATTGGGTCGCTCGTACTGCTAACATTGACTTGTAAGATTTTTCCTTTTAATACTTTAGCTCTTTCGGGGTTTTCAACGTTTTCTGTTTTTGAATTTAGTGCTTCTAATGTCATAGGACGGCAGAATTATTTAACTACAGTGGCCGTTCTGCTCGTCGGTGCGACTTCGTTTCGTTGCTGGAAGGGAATCAAGTGCTTGTGGGTGTGTTGAGTGCTTGGTCGTGCATTTTGAATGCCCGTGAGAGCACCAAACCGGTTGGTGCACCAAAGCGGTTATTTGCATCACCAACCACAACGGTAAGCCTATCCTATTCTTGTAGATTGTCTCTTTATCCCTTAGGGACTGTTTCATTTCGATACTAATATTATTTGGTAGTGCAGTTGTACTCGGTGGTTCAGAGTACGGCCGGATGGTCTCACCGGTTGGGTTGGTTTTCTACTGCGTTAGAGGCAGATTTGCATGTGTCACCCTATCAGTTTTGGACGGATATTGACATGGTTAGTGGAATCCCTAATCCATTCATTACGTTGAATTTGATATTTCTCTAAAAGTGCCCATTTGTCTCGTTGTCTGTGAAATTGGATCTTAATTTTCGTGTATGTGCTGCACATTTTTGTCGCAGTTGATCTTTCCCATAATAGATAAGTCGCATTATTACGTCGTTTCTGTTGACGTCCGGCGCCAGAAATTTGACTTCATCGACAACTCATCTACGGGGGGGGGGGGGGGGGGGGGGGGGGGGAGGTATCTCTTGACAAGTACGGGGATACCCCTACTGTGTTGGTATTTATTTGTCCTTATTCTTTTGTGCCTGTTTCACTTTTTAACTTATGGTGTAACGTTACATAGTAGTTACCATTGTATTCATTTGGCATTTTGATAATTTTTTTTTAACTTTATGCAGAGATATGTTCTATCGGTATTCTATGAGGATGCTAATTATCCAGATCTTTATGTAAAAGTCTTGCAACTTATCCCAAGGAGAGTCCGACTGTCATGGCGCGATATTAAAAATAAGGTCGATTGTGGTGTTTTTGCCATGCGTCATATGGAGACGTACATTGGTCAGTCTATTGCGTCATGGGATTGCGGTCTTAGCCACGGCGACGCACGTGCTTTGCGCTCCCTCCGTGTTCGTTATGTTTATGAAATTCTTATGTTTCATAGGAATACACGTCGCCAAGTGATTGTCAATAGTGTTGCTGGTGCCCACTGAATTGAAGATGGTGAATGGGATGCGTATCATTAGCGATTGTTTACCATGGCTACTTTTTCTGCGTTCATTTTAGTTTGGATGTTGCTATACCTTTTGGATATTTTGTTGTGTGCGCTAAAATTAAACAAATGTGTTTCAATATTGATCTCTCTATTTCGGGTTCTATGGTATGTCGTTGCATATGGCGTCCGTGCATTTTATTATTCATGCACAATATTTAATGCGTGTCTACTTTTGCGAGCTTCTGTGTTTATTTGTAGTGCGTTATACCTCCGTGAAACAAGTCATATAACAGATTGTCATTAAACCAAAACACCTACAACCTATTAAATGTCTGGCCCAACCAATTTACGAAGCTGCACATACAATTCCATGCAAACGCTGTTTGTATCTGCGCATTCATGCTCAATACCCGAGTTTGCTACGACTCAAATAAAAAATCGCACATACTGGCCATCTCACACTTAGACATTTAGAATCCATTCTCAATTTAACATCCACACATCTTTTCAATCATTTCTAAGGGTTCGTTTGCTTCTAAGGCTTCATTTGCAAATGAAAACGTTTGCAAAAACGTAATGTAGTTTGTCTGATTCACCTAGTTTATTAATTTTTTTCTTATATATATGACTATGGAAAATATAAATAAATTTCCCATACCGTGCTCACAAATGTGTTATATATTTCGAATCTTACGTCAACATATGGTCCTTATTCATTCAATAAATATTGTTGTCGTTAGTATTCAATTCCCGAGACTTTATTCTTTTCATTTCTCAAAACGCCAAATGCACACACTCACCAGTATATTTGCACATCAGATGCCAATGCCGTTTATTCATCTTTGAATCTCAAAAAAAAAAAAAAATTATTCTTCAAATGTTTGTAATTCTGTGAATTTCTTATTAACGGAGTACTGGGTAAACTACTTTTGAGGGCAGCTTCTGCTATTATGGCCATCGGCTAGTCCACATGTTTTGCAGGTGCGTTTTTCCTTATAATGCTCCGTCATTGCTGTCTCCCTTGCTGATTTCATTCGTTTGCCAGACCCTTTGGTTTTTGCTACGGGTGGAGGATGCACTTCTATCGTCTTAGGGGTTATGACGCCGCAATATGACTCCATTATTGCACCCTTTCCACTTACATTCAAATCGGCTCCTTCGTCCTCCCCGAATGTTGCCTCAAACTCTTCCATCCACAGTCTTATCTCCTTCATTTTTTCTGGTCTTCCTTTAGCCTTGCCCAAACATCTATGAAATATATTCATTATTTGTCCTTCCTCATTATTGCCTTGCCCAAAAGCGTTGTTACCATTCTGTTTTTCTCCATCCGTATCAGTGGGGGATTGCTTCACGGCGTCTCGCGTCCATCGTGGTGTAATATGTTGTGGGGGGATGTCATCGATACGTTCATCTTTGAGTACGACAAAAACATGGCTACAAAGGAGACTTACTCTTGCGTACATTCTGCATGTGCATGATATGTTGCTCCCATCTTGCACTATGACTGTGTATCGTTGCTCATTTTCATCCTCAACCATATATGTCTTCAAACCGTCTGCCTCAGTGTATGATCGAACTCAACATTTAAAACACCCTGCAATTATTTCCTTTTGGACCTCATAAAATATAGTCAAAGTGTACACTGTTGCGGCTGATCGCTCTATTCGAAGTTGTGTCTCAAATACTGGGGTCTGTCCGATGCTACTTGCGGTCAATTCTCGGTTGTTCTTTCATTGTTTTCTTACCGCACGTTCGAAACGGGTGAAAAACTCTACCAGACATAGGTGCTTGTTCATGTTACCCTGGAAAATCCTATTCTCCGCCTCTGAACGGGAAGTGGTACGTAGCAGCCCTCCCATGAACACATCATCGTAAAATGCGGGCACCCATGACGCACGCTCCTCGTACATACGCGTTAGCCATCGGTTTTCATGAAGGTTGTATTTCCCAATTACGGATTTCCACCCGATCTCGAATTCTGTTCTCGTTGCTTTCTCGTTCCACACAACACTATTCAATGCCCTCCGGAACTCGTTATTCTTTGACATCTCAGCGCCCACTTTCTCGCTAACCTTGGTCATTATGTGCCACATACAATAACGGTGACGACTACCTCCAAAGACATCTGCAATTGCAATTTTCATAGCTGGGTCTTGATCAGTTATTACTATAGGTGGAACAGTCCCCATTGCGTTCTTGAAATGTTTTAATACCCAACTGTATGACTCCACGTCCTCCTTATCAATCAGGGCCGCTGCAAACGTCACACATCATTTGTGGTTGTCTACTCCCGTGAATGGGACAAACACAAGGTGGTACCTGAATCCATTACATAGCAATTAATCTGTTGTACCATTTTTTGCAAAACAAATGAATCGCACACATCGCAAACACATGCACAGACTGACTATAGACACGCACAGACTTACACCCAATGCACAGACAAACCTTAAGATACATTATACGTTGTCTCGCATACATACACGCCCTGTGCGAGTAAAACAGTCACACACACGAACTGCCCTACTTAAAATGCTCATCATACTATTCACTCCCTGTATACGAATTTAAATTTACACACCCATATATTTAAATTAAATGTCTCATACCTATTCGTTTTGTACGTTGCATCAAAGGATACCACGTCACCAAACGCACCATAGTTTTTCCTTGCCATTCCATCCGCCCAGAAGACACGAGCTAATTGATCATTTGTGTTCACCTCGTACTCGAAGTACATGTCAGCGCACTCTGTTTTCAGCTCAAGATAGTTTGATATAACCATTTGCACATCTCCCCATTTCATGTACGCTAATAGATCTCTTCTGTAATTCTTGAAGTCCTGTTGCGTCGCACCAACATTCTCCGGCCCACCTACAATCTCGGCATATATGTCAAAACTTTTACTTGCACCAACGTTTGCTTTTTCGCACTTAGTAATGAATTCTTGGTGTGCAATCTCTATTTTGCGATTGACTTTCAAAAATGGTTTGTGACTTTCCTCGCACAGACAATGTGTGTGTGTTTTTCTTCAAATTTGTGTACCTTATACCTCCCGTCGGAAACTTTCTTCATTACAATCCTAGCGCCGCAACCAACTCTATTAGTGGTCCGCCTTCTCTTCTTCTTCGAAGCCTCTCCTTCACCCAATGTTTGTTTGCCCCTATCCTCCTTAAAACCTTGCCGCGAACACACAACATCCTTTTTCAGAACAATTCCAAAATCGTTCTTTTTATCCGAACTATGAATATGCTGCGGCATAAATCGTATAAAACTTGATTCCATCTTCTAGTGTGTTAAACATTTGACCTTCGTATGGTTTCAGACTACGGTCGCATTCTGTATACCAATATTTCGTACCTTCCGGGCTAATCTCCATTCTACAATCCTTCTCTGGTTCATTTGCATCGATGTCGTCTGGACTCCACTCACCTGTAGCATATATTTCGTTAACATATTCATAGTAAACCACACGTAATGTTTTCAACATCAAAATAATTGGTCTATTCGTATGGGGTGGTACTTCATTGCACATGCTGAATAGATACATTGCAATAACCCAGAACACACATTGCACATGTCACAACCCAAAGACGCACAGGGCACAGGCCTCTAATTAATCCACCACAACACGTGTTTCTTACTACACCTTCGTCACCCATAAAACACTTTAAAAAACAACATATTCATTTTCGGAAAATTTTCACAGTGCAAAAAACAAATTGATATGCACTCTAATAATAACAGTATTGAACCACGAAAACAGCAAAAACCAACACTCAACACATATACTAAACCCTCTAATTCGTTTATTATTTCGTAATCATATCTCCAAATTACAGATGACCGACCTACATCCAAATAACGCTGCCAAATACAACCCCATAAAAAAAAAAACCACGTTTCCGCTACCACCTTTTTGAAAACAACAGCCGCAATTTGCACACTCAATTAATACATATCGCACAGCTCCCTAACGGTTTACAAGCCGGGTCTTTAAAAACCAAAACAACCATCTCCGGGAGAAAAAATAAATAACCCTGCGAACTGTCCATTGAACACAACACTCCATCAAACAAATCAACACACGCAACAACACCACTACGCCAGTACTTATCAAAAACACATAAACAAGAGAATAATATTCAAACACAGAACCCAAACCCGCGCTCTGTAAAAAAATTCAGTGTAAACCACATTCTTATTGCGGTCATAAGTCACCCACGGTGCGGAATGCACAAACTTGCACACAACTAATTCACGCCGCACACACTACTAATAAGATATGCACCCCAAACTTAAAGTCTAAAATAGTTATAATACATATGCACATACCTGTGTCCGGTAGCACCATTACTGTGGCCTTTGATGTCAAACAACCGGTTCACGTTGATACTGACAGCGAATGCTAGCATTGGGGAATCATCAACGCATCATGGCTTATTCTATACTGTTAATAAATAATTTTTTCCCAACAATCAGTTGCTAATCATGGAATTTATTCCAAATTATTTGTAACCATAAATATCTATTATATTACAATTACTTATTCACCCTTATGCATAGACTACTACCTAAAATGCATACACAATCTAATTCAATCTCAACCTTTAATATGCAATGATCTAATGGGTATGATTAGATCTCATTAACTCATATATCTATGTGACCTCATGGGATCCGGAGCATATATATATATATATATATATATATATATATATATATATATATATATATATATATATATATATATATATATGATATTTGAATATTTGAGACAACTATTTGAATAATTGTATGCAATTCTATGTCTGGGCTGCTAAAAAATTACTTTTTTTTTTTCGCATTAAGAAACAAAAATAAAATAAAAATCAATTGGATTTTTTTTTTTTGGCTTTCTACTGTGTCTGGACTCCATATCACCGTAGCTATTGTTGAGGTGCAAGATGACGGTTTTTTCTTTACACAAGTGATTTCCGTCGTTATACTTCGATTTCCGTCGACAATGGATCTCCAGTGATGGAGTGACGGCGACGCACAAGAGCTTCGGCAGGCAGCGGATGGACGGTGGAGGCGTTGGCGTTGCGTCGAGACCAGTCGGCAGCGACAACGCTGGGGCTCCCGGCTACGCTGTTGCTGTCTACTCTCCTTCCGGCGACGCCGACAATCTCTTCTGACTGCTGTTCGTCGGTGTTAACGACCTAGGCGATCACCTCCCCGGTCTCTGCGCTGCGCTACTGTCGACTGAGTGAAAAAGATGGATGAAGATGTAATGGGCTAGGTCTAGCCATTTGGGCCAGACCTGGGCTCATTATTATTATATAAAAAAAATTAAATCTGGGCCTGTTTTGGTTTTGGGTCAGACCTGAATTGATATTTGGACTTTATCAATTCCTTTAGTTTGATATCATCTTATTTGGACTTCTTCTAATTTAATTATCCAATTGAGTTTTTTATTTAAGTCTATTATTAAATTGTTATTCAACTTTGAATAATTATTCAGTGTTTTTTTAAAAAAATTTTCAGTTGAATTTTAATTTAATAATGTTTTTCAGTTTAAATTGTATTAAGTATTGCAATTTAATTGTGGAGTATTTGTGGGTAATATGCATAATCTGAGCATGTTATTTATCTCTTCAGTGCAATAATTATTTGACTGTTATAATTATGCCTGTAGAAAAGCATGTTCATTAAGAAAAATTTAGAGCCTTTTAGGTCTGAATTATATGCTTTGCATGATTTAGTGCCTTTTAGGTGAATTAGTGTATGATTTAGTGCCTGGTGAATTAGTGCCTTTCATGTTAGATTACGCATATTATTACTCTACTCTTCAGTTATTACTCCACTCGTGTTTTATAAAGTTTCTAAAGCACATAAAGTACATAAAATAATTTGTAGTTTACCCTATTCAAAGCCTTATCCATAGGTGAAACTATACTCTTTAGATCTCTCAAACGATTTTACTTAAAAATGAGAACGCATGAATTAGTTGAAGTTTCTTGGGGATGAATACTAGTTCTATGGCCCTGTGTAACACCCCGATTTTTCAAAATTTTTAAAACTTAATTTCAAAGGTAAACAACTAATCATCAAGACAAATAACAGCGGAAGCTTAATTAAAATCGGAGAGATGTTATGCCACACCCATAAACCATGGGTGCACAGGCTAAAGACTATCAAAAAGCATTACACAGTATAAATCTAGGCACACAGGCCACTAGTCTAGGCACACAGGCCACTAGTCTAGGCACACAGGCCAACAAAAGATAAACGTCTAGCATGGGATCTATACTATCTAAAGTCCACATCTAGCGCGCTCGGCATCTACTCAAAACCTGTAAAATCAAGGGATAACACCAGCTCAGCGAATAATGCTGGTAACCCATCAATTCGCGTTCAATAGCATCATATAGATAGATATAATCAAAATCATTTGAAACTGGAAATACAATATATATCATTTCAAAACCAAGGAAAGGAAGTCAACATCAAAGACCATCACTCTCTCAACAAGAACGAGGATCATCAACCTCACAACAAAGACAAGACGACAACCAACATAGACAATACAACTCAGGATGCAACCTACCAATCACAAGGTAGTGTACATCAAGACATGCTCATAAGCAAAGAATTCACATTCACCAATGACAACTTCATGTCATCAGTTTCATAGTTTCAAGTTCCAACTTCCAACCTTATGCCCCGTTCCAACCTTATGGCTACCCCCGACCTTATAACAGTTCCAACCGTTACCTCCTAGTGCCACCCTGTAGTTCTGAGTCCAACCTTATACCGCCGGGGACTATCGCCACCCCACCAACACCGCCAATCAGTTACCGCCGAACTCTCAGCACACGAGGGTACCATTAAATTTCATAATCGCACACCACCGATCAAGTGAGCAAAGCTCAAGTCATACACCACCAATCACAATCATAATCACACATAATCATCATTATCATCAAGAAGACTAAGGCCCATCAATGGCCCCAATCAAGTGTCAACAAAGGGTACAATGATTTTCATAAGATCACACCACAAGAATCAATCAAGAGATCACAACAAAGACATGAGACATTACTCAACAACGAAGGATATAATCCAACACCAAATGATTGTCAACACAAGTTGCCAATCCCAATAAGAAGGAACAAACCACACATACTAGCATATCAATATAAAACTAGCATGCTAATCAAACGGGTAAACCAAAAGTAGTTCCAAAGAACATTCAAGACGCACGTTAGCCCAACGAATCACATGGTTGGACCCTTAGCACAATCCAAGACACCAAATCCTAACATGGATTCCTAACACACCGTTCTAGACATACGAAACATCAAGAAGACTCACAAATAGCCCATTAAATCAACAACGGAAGGTCAAAACATCAATACCGAGAAGAAAGAATCACGGGGAACAAATCCCCGAACATCACCAATAACGTACCCCATGGGTACACTCCCATGAGAGGCCGGTTCCCCGCAGGTGGGGCGGCGGGAAGACCTCTGCCCGCGGGTTACATACCCTGTACACCAAAATTTCCCTTCTGGGAAAATCAACAACAAGGCCAAGTTCAAGTCCAAAACACCCAAAATCTCACACACAACAATGATATGACTTGAACCCAAGAAATAACCAAGCAACGGCATTCAAGAAACCTAAATACAAGCTCTAAACATGCATCACCACAAGATGATGCATCAAATCTCACAAATCATCACAAGAATAACAAGTAGAACCCAAGAATCATCATATAAGTAAGAGAATAGGTTTTGTATAGCATGGGTTACCTTTGTAGCCTAACAACTTCTCCTTTTCACCCTTAATAGCCTTTCCCAGAGCTCTTCTTCCACACCAACTTCTTACATAAACCAAAACACAATAAAGATCCTAACTTTAGTTAAAGACACCCAAAAGAAGGTTAAAAACACCAAAAAGCTAAGAATATTACCCTTTCCTATGCTCAAGAAGGAGAAAGTAGGAATCTTGGTAGAAAATCTTGCAAGGCTTGGGGGTTCACTTTCTTGCTTGGAGAATAAGCTAAACTATTTTAGAGAGAAGCTAGAGTGTTTGAGTTTTAGGTTGAAAGGATGAATGAAATGAGAATGTCTTGCTAGGTTAGCTTGAACCAGAATTCATAAGTGATTACTAATGTTGGAAAGACAAGGGAACAAGGGCACAATTCAAGAAGCACGAGGTACACCCTTTTGACTTAAGTGACTAGTCAAAATCTAGTCCCTCAACTATCAAATTTCAGGATTTTAAAAATGGATTAGCAAGGAAACTTGGATTAATTCTTCAATTAATCCTCGGTTAGTATTTAGATTTACGGGGTGTCACATCCTCTCTCCCTAACAAGAAGCTTCGTCCCCGAAGCTTGGGCACGACGAGTTCAATCAAAAGATATCAACAAATCAAAGATGTGACAAAAGAAAGTAAAATGCCACCAAATAAGGCTTCAAAGGTCAAGAGGTGTAAAATTTAAAGGATTAAGGAAGGCAAAGTTTCAATGGTCACGAAAGAGACTTCTCAAGCAACACCACCACTAACACAACCTTAAGGACAACTATTACCCTTCTACACTAATCCTAAGCCAATAACAAACTAACTCGAACAAAGCAAAGCAATTAAATCAACCACTTCAAACAACAGGCTAACAACGAAGGCAAACAAGGGAGCACAACTAAACACACAACAAAACAAACAACAACCACCAGCCGGCAAACAAACGAACGAGAAAGGAAAACGAGCTTACCCCAAACTCCGGCCTAGGAGGAATCATCCCCCAAATCCTCGGCATCCTTGTCCGAATCTTCCTCGGCTCCACCACGGCTAGAACTAGCTTCCAATCTATCCAACCTTTGATTAACGGTGACAAACTGAGCCTTCATGAAGGAGAAACCTTCTTCAATCATCCGGTTTTGCTGTCGAAGGAGGGTCACCACACTTTCCTCGTGGGTCATGGCATCATGCTCTTTCTTGGTCCTCACTTCCTTCCTCCTTAAGTTCTCTTCGCTCTCGGGGTCACTTTCCTCAGCTTCCTCTTCTTCTTCTTCTTCTTCATCCTCAGCACCCCACCTAAGCTCTGCACCACTTGATTCAGCTTCCCCACGGAGATCTCAAGCTCTTCAACTAAAGAACTCCACTCGGCAATGGATTTCCTTGCGACTTCTTCCAGAGTGATGTAGTCACCATCATCCAACTGAAACAGATTGCAACTCCGGAGATTTGTGGCATCCAAAATCATCTTACCCACCGGCTTGGGCACACAGCCTTCAACATTCACCCCTTTCCTAACAAAGATCCAACTTAAAACCATGCCATAGGGCAAGCTCTTCCGGTTATGAT